AGAAAAAACTGCCTTTTCTATCGGAAGGGGGTTATGGCAGTTCACTGTCATGCCCTTTGGTCTTTGCAATGCCCCCGCAACTTTCCAACGTTTGATGGAAAAAGTTTTGAAAGAATTTTTATCGAAGATCTGCTTAGTTTATTTAGATGATGTGATTGTTTTTGGGAAAAGTTTCGAGGAAATGTTAGAAAATCTTAGAAAAATTTTACAACGTATTCAAGAAGTAAATTTAAAAATAAACCCAGAAAAATGTGTTTTTTTTTTCTAAAAATGTAAAATATTTGGGACACGTGATTTCTGCAGAGGGCATTGCTACAGATCCAGAAAAGATTTCCGCAGTAAAAGACTGGCCAGTACCGCATACTAAAAAGCAATTACGAAGCTTCTTAGGGTTTTGTTCTTATTATCGAAAATTCGTAAAAGGTTTTTCCTCCATTGCTAAACCGCTTTATTTACTCACGGAGGATAAAGCTAAATTTGTTTGGAATGATGAATGTCAAGATACCTTTGAGAAATTGAAGCGCGTATTATCTTCTTCTTCTTTGCTTTCTTTTCCTAGGGAAGAGGGAGAATTTATTTTGGACACGGATGCTTCAAATATCGGTATTGGTGCCGTTCTTTCTCAAAAACAGGATGGGGAGAAAAGAATCATAGCTTACTTTAGTCGTGTTCTTAATAAAGCCGAGAGGAATTATTGTGTGACTCGACGTGAACTCTTGGCAATTGTGGATTTGGTTAAATTTTTCAGACATTATCTGCTGGGCCGGAAATTCTTGATCCGTACGGATCATGTCTTTCTTAGGTGGCTCTTGTCCTTTAAGGATTTGGAGGGACAACTCGCACAATGGCTGGAAAAGTTGCAGCGTTTTGAATTCGAAATTATTTATCGTAAAGGACTTACCCACAAGAATGCCGATGGACTTTCAAGACGTCTATGCGAATCTTTTGAGTGCAAGTATTGCGAGAAGGTAGAACAAAAAGATACTCGAGATCTTGAAAAAACTGTAGCTCAAATTATCATTCCTGAAAGAGGTTTGGAGGATTGCCGAAAAAATCAAAAAGAAGATCCAAGTTTATCAGTAATTTATCGAGGAAAAGAGGCGGGAAAGCGCCCACTGCGCTCAGAGATCGGAACGGACGTTTCGGCCCGAATTTATTGGACGTATTGGGATGTTCTTTATCTCAAGAATGGAATCGTTTATATTCCATAAAAGATGGTATGCTCCGAATTTGAAGTCCAGTTTTCTTCAATTGATAGTTCCGCAGAAATGGATCAAAGAAATCTTGGAGCAGGCCCATGATTCTTTTTCGGGAGGACATTTCGGGGTAAATAAAACTCTGGGGAGAATTCGAAAACGTTTTTATTGGGCGACATGCAAACAAGATGTAGAAAATTGGTGTAAAACTTGTGAGGTGTGCGTTTCAAAGAAAGGCCCGGTCGGGAAAGAGAAGTCGCCTCTTCAAATCTATAATGTTGGAACTCCTTTTGAAAGAATTCAAATGGATGTTCTTGGCCCTCTTCCAACAACTTCTTCTGGTAACAGGTATTTGCTTGTAATCGTGGATTGTTTCAGTAAATGAGTGGAAGCCTTTCCTTTGAGAAATATTAGAGCAGGGACGGTCGCAGAAGTCTTTGTTAGCCAAGTTGTTTCTAAACACGGGGTACCCTTGGAAATCCACACAGATCAGGGAAAGAATTTTGAGTCAAAACTCTTTGCTGAAGTAACAGAAATGCTTGGGATAAAGAAAACAAGGACGACTCTCCTTCACCCACAATCTGACGGTCAGGTGGAACGCCAACATCAAACTATTACCAATTATTTAGCGAAATATATTTCTTCGGATCAGAAAGATTGGGATCAATGGGTTCCCATGTTTCTTCTAGCTTATAGATCATCCAGACATGAAGTCACAGGTTTGACTCCTGCTGAGATTTATTATGAACGGGATTTGAAATTGCCTCTAGATTTATTACGAGGACATCCCCCTGATTCTCAAGGAGAAGAGCCTCAAACAGCTCAATGCTACGCTAGGGAACTTCAGCTTAAACTAGAAGAAATCCATTCTAAAGCTAGGCAGTGTCTTGATGTTCAATTTTCACGCACAAAGGCTCGCTATGATTGCAGAGTTAGGCATACTTTATTACAAGAAGGTCAGAAAATGTAGCTTTTTAATCCTCGAAGAATGAAGGAAAAGGCTCCTAAATTGCAAAGCAATTGGGAGGGGCCCTTCTTTGTGGTAAAAAAGATAGACGAGGTTGTGTATTGCATTTGGAAGTCCCTCAGACATCGTAGTAAAATTGTTCACGCAGATAGATTGGCAGCTTTTCATGAAAGAAGGGTGGTGTAGAGCTAAGAAACAGAGCCTGGAAAAAGTATATTTAATAAGTTGAGAATTTTAATTTGTTCTATTTGTTGCCGTGTATTATTACGTTTGCAGAGCGAATTGGGCAGTGGAAGGATTTCTGAAGAGGGAATCTTGGGATCAAGTGGCCACGGTGTACCTTCGAGAAGGAACTCACGATCTAGCTGTTGTATGAAAGGAGATGGTGTTTTTCGGCAGAAGCGGGGAGAGTTTTGCGTGTGCGGACTCATCCGGTGGAAACCCGGCAAGGGAAAGTCGCCCTGAAGCCGGCGGAAGGAAGCTCAAGGTGTCCTGTATGGACAGACTTCAGGATAGCTTCGTAGTCCTTTAAGTTAGAGCTACAAGAGGAGCAGGAAGAAGCTCAAGGTGTCCTGCATGGACGGACTTCAGGATAGCTCCGTAGTCCTATGAGTTAGGGCTACAAGAGGGGCAGGAAGAAGCCCGCCTCTCCCACTGTTTTCGACCGAGGTTTTCCGTGGGACTTGGGCGAATGCCGAGGCGGGTACTTGGGGAGTTTCTACAAACGTTGGGTCCTCGGGAAGTTACCCCCCCCCCCTTGTCCGAAGATTTCGAGCTCTCCGAGGGATGCCGGTTGGGGACTGTTTCCTGAAGAAGAGAATGGAGGAACGTTGGAAAGAAACTGTTGGAACACTGTCCCCTAGATTGTCGGGACGACAATCTGAAGAAGAAGGGGGCAGTGTTACGCCCGTACTGAGACGCCCGGTACACGCGAGTCGGACGTGAAGTGAGAAGCGCCCCGTGGCAACGGTTGTTGATTAGCGACGCGAGTCAGATTTGAATCTGGGCTTTTGTGCCGAACGAACGTGTCTGCCCTGTCGCTGTATTTTATAATAATAAACGAGTTTCTAACATCAGAGTGTCTTTCCTTGCTTTCCGCGAGTCGCGAGTGATTGAGTGAGTGTGCGTGGCGTGAGACGTACGGCCGAGCGTAACAATATTAATTAAAAAGGATTATTAGAAAAAAAATACAGAGTAAAAAAATTATATATTTTTTAAGGATGTTCTGGAGGTATATATCGTCTCAACCAAAAGTATGCAGGAAATATTAAACACCGATAATAATTTTCCAGGCATCCAAAAATAAAAAATTGTATATAAATAGTTGCAGCACATCTAATAGAATTTAAAAGACGTAGATTTAGTGACTGTAAATAACTTATTACTATTTAAAAAAAAAGAGGTTTCGAAAAAAATTGTAAATTTGTTTCAACTTTTGTTGCTATATTTTTGTTTGTTGATGATCTACTTGTGTGTAAAACATTATTATATTAGTAACATTTTTTAATGTTCACACTTTTCTCTGTAAAACCCTTTGTAAAACGGATATTCAAAAATTGATAACTTTTTATCTAAATTGTGAATCGATTTGAAATTTTCCCCCGAACTTTGAAAGACAATACAGAATATGATATTAAACTTTCATCAACTTTATAGCATTTTGACTAATTATCCAAAACATCCTTAAGTCTCATATCATTCATACCATTGTTATTTTTAAAAGAACCTACAGGATCTACAGGACAGTGAGAACCTTCGTTATCCTCTTTGCTAGTGCTTGGTGCATTCGAATTATTATCTTGCATGTAATCTTCATATATAATATAAAATAATAATTATGGAAATATTAATAGCGTACATTTGAAATAAATATTGAAATAAAAACACACACACACACACAATACAATCTCGCTAATCCGGCACTTAAAAATCAGATGCCGGAATAATGTATTTGCCAGACTATCAAAATGCTAGATTAGCGACATTGTACTGTATAAAAAAATAAAAAGGTTTATATCATTATTATTATTATTATTAAAAATCTTCACCTATAAGAACATATAATTTAACGAAAAAGTTATGCATAGAATACAAATGCAACATAGATCTACAAAAAAGATGGAAAGTGTACTGTTAAAGCTTGGAATGTTATTTAAGGCGTCTTCAGTACAATTTGGTACACTTTTTAATGATTTGCGAGAACGTTTTTTAGAAGGTTCTTCATATTCATTTACAGAATCTTCCAAATCTGCACTGCTACTCCAATGTTTACTACTACTCTGAAGATATAAACTTTGTTCATAGCGTGATATTCGGCGCTCGCCTTGAGCAAAGCCACCTAATGCAAATATATGTATATTTAAAACTGTAATCAGCATGATAATATACAAATAAAGCATTTAATACTTATACTTGTGCGTACATATTTATATAGGGTATCCCAGACCTGCCGTGCTATACTCGTGTGACAGCTGTCGTCAGCCACCAGGAAATCGCGGAAAATACTTGACATTGTACGACGCGACAGATTAAAAAGATCGATGCAATCTGTCAAATTGCAATTACTCTGATTTGTTTGACAGGACTTCGTGTCTCCTAGCAACCGGGTTTTGCAAAAAGTCGCCCATAGATAGATGCCGTAACTCGTATTTCAAATTCTGCCGTGATGAAATATAAAGGCGTCCGATTTCGAAAAAATTCGGCGATTCAGCAAATTGTCCTGGCGATACATATACAGGATTAAAACGCCTCGTCTTTTGGATAACAAGGATCCTCCTCGTTTCTACTAGGAAAGGATCACCAAGAGGCGCAAGACTCGCCCTCTTCCTCTTGATCAGATCTTCGCGGTCAAGAGGAAGGTGGTTGCGCCAGTCGCAGCCCCAGGCGCTAGACGCCCTGCTTCCGACGCAGGACGCCTGGCTCACGGCTCCAAGCCGTCGTCTGCCGGCGCAAGGCGCCCTGCTCCCGGCGCCAGTCGTCTAGTCTCCGTCGCTCCGCCGACTTTTAGCGCTAGTCGCTCCTCGTCAACTTCTAGTGCTAGTCGCTCGATCGGAAGATCCTTGCCGTCTCTCAGCGCTAGTCGCTCTCCGACTCCCTGCGCTAGTCGCTCGTCCCCCGGCTTAACGCCGACTTCCGGCGCCGGCCGCCCTACCGGCTCTTCGCCAATCCTCGGCGCAAGTCGCCCGACTCTAGTGGCATCAACAACGCCGAAGAGGAAACGGCCTTTCGAGATAGGAACGTCGACGCCAGACTCGAAAGGATCTTCACCGAAGAATCCGTGGGTTCTTCCACCCCTGATCTCTCCGCCTTCGTTGTCGCCTATCAGGAGGACCACTGAAGGGACGCAGACGATTCGACAGGAGTATCCGGATTCCTCGACGCAGACGGTACATCAGGAGAAACAGGATTCCTCAACGCAGACGGAATCATCTGAATTCATACGAGCGGACAAAAGGGAAGCAGCAACGCAGACTAAACGACGAGGAGAACGAGAACAACGAGAACGACGAGGACGACAAGGACGAAAATTGTAAAGCAAGAAATATAAAAAATGTTGTAATGTTCTAAAATTATTAAATATATTTAAATAAAATATTAAAATAAACAACAACAAAAACAACAACAAAAATATATCTTAGCGATTATTTAATCGGACGACGTTACGTCTAAATTGGTGACCCCGACGTGATCGCTAAGATACAAAAATGGAAGGTGACGGAAGAGTCATATTCAACGGTGAAAACCAAGTCGGAAGAGTGTCGGTCAGAATACCGCCTTTCTGGAATGATGAACCAGAGTTGTGCTTCGCCCAGCTTGAAGAGCAATTCGTTCTAAGCGGAATTACTGCAGAAACGACGAAATATTCCTGCGCCATTGCGCAGCTAGATTCTCGACAAATAAAGGAGATAAAGGATATAATTACACAGCCTCTCGAAAAAAACAAATATGAAGCTATCAAGAAGGCGTTGATCCAGAGATTGACAGTTTTGCAAGAGCAACGAACTCGTCAGCTTCTGGAATTAGAAGAGATTGAAGACCGGAAGCCGTCCCAATTTCTTGGGCATCTCCAAACTCTTGCCGAAAGCAATGTTCCAGATTCACTCTTACGAACTCTTTAGTTTGGAAGGTTCCCGACCCAGATGCAAATAGTCCTTGCAACCCGAATCGACGATCCACTTAATGATGTGGCAGAACAAGCAGATCGAATTCATGAAATGTCGAGCAAAGCTGTGATAGCTGCCACATCAACTAGTGGTCAGAAAAAAACTCTGGAAGAGCAGATTTTGGCTTTAACCAAACAAGTCGAGTCGCTCACAACGCGTCTCTCTAGAGATGGATCGAAGAAAAAATTTGATACAAAGAGAGATCGAAGGAAGCCGAAGCAGAAGTAGAAGTCAATCAAAATTAAAAGATTATAATGAAAAAAATTGCTTCTACCATAATCGATTTAGCGACAAGGCCAAGAAATGCAAACAACTGTGTGCTTACAAGTCGGAAAAAGAACAGGGCAGTTACTGATGGCGGCCAGTGAATCAGCCCCGAAGCCCCGCCGCCTCTTCGTAACTTGCCAGGTAACAAAAAAATGTTTTCTTACAGATACTGGATCTGATGTGAGCGCATTTCCGAGGTCTATGGTAGCAGGATTTGTCAAACCTTCAAATTATGAATTGTTCGCAGCAAACGGTTCGACAATTACAACATACGGATGGGTCACTCTTCAGCCAGAGTTCGGATTGCGACGTGCATTTCCTTGGAGGTTCGTGATTGCCAACGTCTCTCAACCAATTATAGGAGCAGACTTTCTAGCTCACTATCGTCTACTGCCGGACTTGCAGAAGAAAATCCTGATGGATGGCAAAACACAAATTCATGCTAAAGGATCAGCTGATGGCTCAGAAGCAATCGAATCTTTAAAAGTTCTGGCTATAGAGAATAAATATCATAAAATCTTAGCAGAATTCCCAGATCTCATTAAAGCAACTCCTGGTGCTCGAGTGGCAAAACATTCAACAGAGCACTACATTAAAACAACCCCAGGACCTCCGGTTACTTGTCGACCACGAAGACTGGCTCTCGATAAACTAAAGGCAGCAAAAGCTGAGTTCAATCTCTTGCTTCAGGAAGGAATTATTTGAGTCTCGGAAAGCAGCTGGTCTTTGACTCTTCATATGGTTCCCAAAAAGGGGGGGTGCATGGAGGGGATTATAGAGGAGTAAATAATAGAACAGAGCCAGATGGATTCCCGATTCCACACATTAAAGATTTTTCACAAAATCTGCATGAAAAAAAAAATATTTTCGAAGCTGGACTTAGTTCGAGCTTATAATCAAATTCCTGTCCATCTAAACGATATCCAAAAGACAGCAATTATAACCCCTTTCGGGCTCTTCGAGTATTTATTTATGCCTTTTGGCCTTCGAAATGCAGCTCAAACTTTTCAACGCTTCATGTGTGAGATTCTAAAAGATTTCGATTTCTGCTACGTCTACATTGACGACATTCTTATAGCATCCAAAGATGAAAAGGAACATGAAGAGCATTTACGCAAGCTATTCAAAAGGTTGGAAGAGTACGGCATTCTTTTGAGCCCGGCCAAATGCGTCTTTGGAGTAGACAAGATACTTTTTCTTGGTTATGAAGTTTCAAAAAAGGTATCAAACTCAGCCTCCACCGGAAAGGATTGAAGCAATCAAGAATTTTCCGAGGCCTGAGAATGTACAACAGCTTCGGCAGTTCCTAGGAACTCTGAACTTTTATAGAAGGTTTATTCCGGAAGCCGCCAAGAATCAGGCTTTATTGAACAGTCAGCTTGGTGGACCAAAAGCTAAAAAAAAAAGCACCAATTATCTGGAACTCGGAGCTTGAAGAGGCTTTTATCAGATGCAAGGAAAGTCTTTCCCGAGCAACTTTGCTGGCGCATCCGAAACCGGAAGCAGAGTTAGGACCCACGACAGATGCATCTGATTTTGCCATCGGTGCAGTAATTCAGCAACGAAATGGAGACGACTGGCAACCGTTGGCTTTCTTCAGCAAGAAACTAAATCCAGCTCAACAAAAATATAGTCCGTACAATAGAGAGCTTCTGACGATTTATTTAGCCATTAGGCATTATCGCCATTTGCTTGAAGGAAGGATTATCACAGTTTATACTGACCATAAACCATTAATTTACGCTTTCCAGCAGATTGCAGAACATAGCTCTCCAAGACAAGCCACGCAGCGCGCAGGCAGGTACCCCGCAGGGCCACTCTCCGGCGACGCGCGATAAGGGAACGCCGCGCGAGTTGTTTCAAAAATGGCCAGGAGCTTTAATTTTGAAGGTGTCCGAACGAATTTTTTTTTTAAATTGAAGGTCTTTACATTTTAAATAGAATGTCTAATCGTAAGCCCGATTCTTGAAATTCAAAATGGCGGATGCAAGATGGCGGACAAAAACACGAAAAAGTTGTCAATTTTTATGAAACTTTTCAATAAGGAGTTTTCGGGATTGCTGATTACGAGACTGGAGTCAGAATCCATCAACCCAAAACTTATAAACTCATGAACCCTAAGTCCATATACCCTGAATCCATAAACCCTTTAGCCCATATATCTCAATATCATAAACCCGGAACCCATATCCAATGAACTCAAAAATCTTAAACTCATAAACCCGTAACCCACTAACCTTTAGCTCATAAACTTTTTTTTTATGTAAGGGGAAGTCTTCCAAAGATTTCCCGCCCATCCGGGCCGAGGAACGGGGGTATGCCGGATTCTACGCGCGCGCGTACCACCATTACGAGGGACGCTCCAGAGGACCCTCCGAAATCCCCTGAGCCTGCCCTCAGCGCGGCATCGCGCACGCATAGTCTACCGGCTTAAACCCCCCACAAGTTCCCTCCTGAGTGTTGGAGGAGAGGAGCCGGGTATACATCGATTTCTTACATGCTTCCCCTACTTAGGCCTTTCTCAGGCACCCTCATAAACTAACAAGTGACGAGTTGAGGAGACTAACCCAACCCGTCACTCCCCACTCCGGGGGTGCTGGTCCGTCGGGGAGCGCCGAAGCAACCAGTCAGTACCAGCCGCGACGCGTGGTGAGCCCGCGCCACGCGCCGCCCTCCAGGCGGTAAAGAAAAGGGCAACAACCGCGAACCACCGACGACGAGCCATCGGGGAACGCCGGGGCAACCAGTCCGGCCTTGCCACCAGGAACTGCGGCCTTCGGGGAGCGCCCCGGCACCAGTCAAACCCGCCGCCACCGAGGAAGCGGAGCCCCTCTTTCCACCGCGCCCTCTTTCAGAGAGCAGGTAGGGGCTAGCGCTCAGAATGAGCCCCGACCCCAACCTTCTGTGGGCCAAGGGGAGGAAGCGCTTGTGGCGGGCAGCCCTTGAGCCACCCACCCGAGCTCCCCGCCCAGCCCCCCTCCCGTCACCGGCCTAAGACCGGTGCAGAGGGCGCTGAGGGAGCGGGTCCCACGTTACCGCGAGACCCGACCCCCCCCCTCGCACCTCTCTTCTAGAGCGCTGGTTTTTATCCGCGCCCTGGGGAGAGTGGGAGCCTCCGTTTCCGAAGGCCCCCGTCCCCCCCTCCCTTTCGCGCATCCCGCCCCCCCCCAACCGATGCTCCGCAGGCAGCCCCGCTCCCGCGCATAGCGAGCATCGTGGTGAAGCCCCAGGACAGAGGTGGGCCCGATGATCCCCCTCCCCGCAGCGGTAGCAGTCACCGCTGCGGTCCTCATCGGAACGACACCCTAGTTGGGTGTGTCCCACCCTCCAATATTTGAAGCATCAGAGGGGGCGGGACGTCAGCAACTCAACGTAGGCCCTACTCCACCCCACGGTGACCCCCTCTCTTACAGCGACCGACGCGACCCTAGCTGGGCACTGCACCCACAACGTTCTCAACTCGAATCTGCGAATCGCGCCGGTTTTTATTTCCTCGAAGGGGCATTGCCCCAGCCTGGACAACGCCCTCCCGATCTCTTCTTTCGTCACAGAATCATCCAGCCCTCCGACGCGAACTTCCACGCGTTTGGCGGGCCGGGTGATCTGTACGTCTTCCTCATTAAATGTCTCGCGAAGGCGGGCCGCCAGCAATCCGCCTTCGTTTCCGCTCCTTCCCCAGGGATCTCCCATAAAAGAGACCCCGTGATTTCTCGCCTACAGCGAAAATCCTCCATGCCTAATTCCGTCAGAGGGATCTTCTCCCTGGCCGTCTTTATCAATTAAACGTAGTCGGTGTTTGCTCCCGGCAACACCGTGACTCCGACCGCTGCCGTCCTCGGGGTAAACGGTACCCTCTTCTTTCCCTCTTTCGAGGGTCTATAAACCCCTCCCTTTCTATCACCGCTATTATTGCAGCCCCTCTCTGTTGCCCCCCCCTCCGCACCGCTCCGGCATAAGACGAAGGACGCGTCGGAGGTTTACTCCTTATCACAGGGGAGGCAGGAGATCCCTTGGCCTGTCCCGCCGTCCGGGCCCCAATCCGCCCTGTCATCTCTCCCTGGATGGTTTCCACCTCTTTCGTCAACCCCGTTACCCTCTTCTCGAGGGACAGGATCAACCCCCTCAATTCCTCATTGACCCTACCGGTCTCCTCCTCTGTTTGCACAGAAAAGTCCCTCGTGACGATGGGTAAAATATATCTAATTATATCTAATTATTTAAAATATATCTAATTATATCTAATGTCGATTTTATATATAATCATATGTGATTATATCTAATCATTTTTTCTCGGGAAGTTATAATATATATATGGAATAAATTATTTTACTTTTGATTCTACGGCTTTTGAAAAAATATACATATCTTAATTTATCAATGCTTTATTATCGAAGTTAACAGTTCTGTTTTAATATATATTGACTATATATGGTCATAATACAATGGTATAAAAACGGTATCAAGAGACATGGCACTCTGTCTCACGTCAAGCAGTGCCAACCCGGAAAAAAATGATTAGATATAATCATATGTACATAATTATATCTGGTATATATATAATTATATATAATTATATATGTTTTTATATGGGGTCATATATAATTATACATGGCCACATGTGCAAGCAGTACTGCACCCGACATATAACCAGATATAGTATTATATACAACTATATATGCAGTCATATATAGCCAAATATATTAATGTGATTAATTTGGCGCTATATACAATCAGATATAGCACCATATCTAATTGTATATAAATATATGTGAAGCATAATTATATATAAGCATATATAATCATATAGGGTTATATATACTTCCATATGAATCTTATATGTATCTATACATGAGTGCATATATGATCTATTGTTTATATCTAATTATATTTGAAATTATATATGCCCATAATGTTATATGGACCCATATATAAAATTTTATATAATATATTATATAAGAATCTAGATATAATTATATTAAATTATATAAAAAAATACATATTTATATATAAAATTATACATAATTTTACAACTTGTGAGATCAATTTACAAAAAACTTACGAATAAGTCGTATTAAACGCTCTTATGAAGTTTCTTGAAAAATACAAGATTCTTGTATGAAGTTTGTTGTCAGGAAATGGGAGTGCAGGATGTTCGAGAAAGAACGCAGAGTGCTCTCAGGATGGCACACTTTTTTAAAAAATCCGTTCCCCGTTTCTCTTACTATCACGATAAAACTGTCTACAAAATGTATTTAATAAAACACGATAGAGGCAACCTACATTATACAGAGGAATATATGCCACTCAATCTAAGTGAAATATAAGCTTTGTAACAATTAACCTGTATGACTTCTAGCCCCGTTTCCTCCGAGGTTTTCTCCTTTCTCTTATTATCCCGATCTCTTAATTCTTTATATCTTTTTCTCTCAAAAAGTCCGAAGTATGAACGCAGAATACTCGCAGAATGCTCGTAAGAAACTTACAAATTATCACGATTTCTTAATCCTTTATTTCTTTTTTACTGTACGAAATTATGCGCAATTTTAAATTCAATCGATCAAAAATTCAGTCTATAAAAAAAAAACTTCATAAGTTGATAGTTTCACATATCATATGTCATTTGGTGACATATATCAATTGGTGGTATACTGATTATTCAATTTTTATTATATTTATACGAGAAGCAAAAATACGAAGAAATGGAA